CCTATTCCTGAAAGCAGCTTGTGCTGTGTGGTGTCAAAACCACACTCGGGCCTGTCGCAATGCAACTACTGAACATAATGATCATAATCATAACAGTGCACGGTCCTCTGTCGTTTCACGCCAGAAATGGGGGGGGGGGGGGGGGGGGGTGGTTTGACCATGCTTCACCACCCAAAAAAACAATTATAGATGATATTGGTCGCGAAAGCCTACGTGTTTTAACATACTTTCACCACACTGGTCCGTGTGGATTTCTGAAGTTGGAGGGTCCCAGGACTGGTTCAGATTGTCACTCATCTTTCATGTTACCCTTGGTCAGGAATCAAACTAAGATGCTCCCGCTAATACGACGAATACTACCGCATAGTTGCATAGAGCTCCCCGACGCGTTTTCGGGGTTGTACCGAGGCGTTGTTCTGCACGACGTCCGACGTTTCGCTCCACGTTGCTCGGGAGCTTTCTTCGGTTCCCGGCGGAAACTGAAGAAACACCGAACATCCTTCCCCCCCCCCCCCCCCAGTGACAGCACGTCGGAGAGCCGTGCTCTCCCGCCTGGCCCGTTAAGGGTAATAAGTCTAGCGCCCGTTAGCGAGCACGCACATGTACATGCCATATTGGACCGTTGCGAACAACTCTACTCCCCCTAGAGCATTGTGAAACCAGAAACGAACAATTATAATAAATCGCAATAGGTTTCCAACCAAGTGCTCATTTGAGGATTAGTCAACCCAGTGTTATCGCACGCTTAATGAATGTCAATATAAACGAGCTAAAATGGGCCACGTAGACATCTACCTCTCTTGCGCATTGCGTTGACGTGCATGCATTTATTACGTGCGCGTATAAAACATTACGTTATATAACACATTATATGCATGCGTGTATAGTCTCTCCCTGCTCGGTGTTGGAACCTCGCGACGTAAGCTGTAGCGACGATACCTTTGCTTGATAAAAACAAAAGATGACTGTGGGTGGCATTGCAGACTGTCATCCGCCTTTACCGCATCACAATACGACGGAGTATTTTGCCAAATAAACATCGCGGAAGAAGCCCCCCCCCCCCAATTGCAAAATAATTGCGACAATAAACAATTAATTTTAATTGTTTACTTTCGCACGCGAGCGCCATGCAAATGCCTTGCGTGCCGGAGAAAAAGCGATCCCCAGTGTTGGCTCCAATTATTTAGGCCAAAAGAAATTGGATGAGGAGGATATAGCGCGTTGTCAAGCGCCATTATTCACAGATGCGCGCAAAAAATTGTATTTTGTAACCCCCCCACCCACCCTTTCCTCCGGCCCACTTTAATTGTGGAATTTTTTTTTAAACGCCGTATTAATAACAAACGTAATGCCCACGTTTGTTAAATGAGCCCCCGCGTCTGTTGCGAGTCGACAAAATGAAGCATTAGCCACTTGCGCTATTTCGGAATTTACAAAACATGTGTATTTAAAATTGCAATTTCTGCAAACAAGCGCATAGAGCATTTACGCTCGGCAAATTCTCTTCGCAATTGCCAAACGCGCCAATGGAATGCGTAAGCGCATGCGTGTATTTATTGCGCGCATATACCGCTCAAAAAAAAGTTGAAATGTTCCAACATTAGGGCACATCCACGCACGTGCAGCATGGAGCGCTGTGAAATTGATTACCACTTAAACTGAAATTTGAGCCGTATTAAAATTGTTTAATTTCATCCTGCATACTGCCAGTTGGATCATCTCCGTGGTGGTAATTTATTTTCTTCGTATCTGCACTGCTGGGTTTGGGTGGGCTATAGAGGATCCTTTCCGAGCCAAATGCTCGCCCCAAAGTTGGTCCAATTCCAGAGAGTGCTAACGATATTCCGAGTGAACTCCCCCCCCCCTCCCCCCAGGGCCGATGTATCCAACGCGGTTTCACGTATTTACTGGACATGTAGCAATTTGCCACTCTCACTCCCCAGCGATTCGATGCACTGTCTTGATTCTGGTTAATATTTCAAAAAAAATTTCTGCGTGTAAAAATGCCCTTTAATCACTGCCTCATTTGTGCTGCCTGTAGTACACTGTCCGCCTCCCGACGTACAAACCGCAAGTCTTGTTTAGTAGCCTGCCTTGTTTTTGCCATCTGCCTCATTTGTATTGAATGTCGCAATTGCTCCGTCTCGTTCAATCGGTCCCGTTTGTACCATCTTGTTTGAATAGTTTGTCTCTTTTGTAACGTCCGTCTAGTCTGTATTGTACGTCTCATTTGCTCTGCGTCATTTATACGATCCGTCTTCAGTGCGCTGTCCATCTCGTATGCACCGTGCTTCATTTGTTCCGTCTCATATATATCGTCCGTCTTACTTACACTTTGGCCTAAAGGTACATCGGCAACATCAATTCAGCGTATAATCAACACATGCATTTTAAACGGTGGATTCTCACGCGCACAATTCTACGCTTGTATCGCGTGCCCAAATAACAATTTAGACCGATGACTCAATGCATCCTTGGGCGCCTAATATGCACGTAACATAACCGAACGCAATCCATCATTACGCAGTTACCGTGCGCGCACGAGTAAGCACAGAAGTGACTACTACCTCTCTGGCCTCTCCATGTGCTGTGAAGAAGAACCATTGCCAGAAACGTCGCCCATTATAAACTTTTGCTTTTAAGGCCACAGTGTAATTGACCAATGTGAGTTCTCTGTTGCTGTTAGCTGGGCGCGATGGCTCACGCCTGCGATTCAGTGCTTTGGAGGCAAGGGTTGGTGGATCACGTCGTCTTCGTCTTTTGTACGGCTGATGCATGTGCAGAGCGACAACTCTACAATTTCACATTCAGGTGGCCAAGCCAGATAACAGCGGAGTGTATCGCTGCGATGTCTCCTTCGTATTTGTGGATCGGCTTTAATGCGTCCGATTCACAAATATGAAAGATCACTTAGAGATTTGTCGTAAGTGACATAAAGTCCCCGCCAGCTTGACAAAACACGTCACCCTGGCGCTTTGCCCCTTTGTATATACGTATCTATGTTGAACTTCTTTCGCACCGTGCGTAGCCAACCGTGCTAAGGGGCCATCCATTTAGTACGTACGCATGGAGGGGGGAGGGGGGGGTTAACCCAGATGCGTACGCTTGAGTACGCATAGGAAACGGGGGGGGGGGGGGGTGAAACCTCGATAATAATTTGTCTACATTGGCCTTCAAATGAGTTAGATAGTCCGGCGGTAGACTCTCTGTTTGCTTAAACACGTTAATATTATTCATCCTGGATTGTTTCTGCGTGGATTAAATATCGGCAGTTCTATAGGATTCGGGGGGGGGGTCTGTAAAAAGTCCGCGTGCGTACAGGGAGGGGGGAGGGGACAAGTTTTGACAAATTTTTGCGTACCTACTCAATGGATGGCCCGTAATCAGAGGTGCAGTGTTGAGTCTATGGGCAGTGTTGAGTCTATAGCTAGCGTTAGTCTATGGGCAGTATGTATATTGAACTTCTTTCGCACCGTACGTAGGCAACCGTGCTAATCGAAGGTGCGGAGAAGTCGTCAGCGCACTTTCGCCAAAAACCGGGCGAAAAAAGAGACGTTGGCTGAGGCGTGAATGGTGCTTTGTGTCTCCGTGCATTTGTGGAGTGTTTGTTGCATGGAAATGTTAAACCTACGCGTCGCTCTCAGTGAATGCGGCTAGAAAGGTTATTAGCGGGTTTAGAATGTCATTTGCACGACTCTGAAAATCGCAGCGCTACAACGCTCTCCCAGTCGTGTGGCTAATGGGGCTCTGCGAAGACGAAGGTGAAAATTGGCGGATTAATTTCGACGCTGAAGTTAATCATCGTACCTATGTTTGGGCATCACATTGTTGAGTTTTCACCCCCCCCCCCCCCCCCCACTTAAAGGAATTATGAAAAAGCCATCGTTTCTGTTTTATAACAGCCGACAACGCTTCTGCATAGCGAACCTTAGACATGTTAGACATGGTTGGCGTGCGATGATTACAGCCGCCGGCGAAATTCAACATCCCACTTCAGAGTCACGATTCGAGCCACGTATTTGTACTTTTTTTAAATTTTCTTAACCTCGTTTATGCCACCTCGTATGTAATGTTGCTCATTTGTACCCCTCCCCCCCCCCCCCCCCCCCCCCCTTCCCGGTTTGCGTAGTTCCGTTCACTCTGCTAGCCTCAATGTAACGTAAGCGTGTCCCCGGAATATACGCATTGTTAGGGGAAAAAAACTAATTTTAATTGATGTATCGTGCCATTGCTAATCTATTGGTTTATCGATGAAATCTTCTGGTTTCTACTTGTATGTATGCAATACTAGTTGTTCTTATAGAGTGTCTAAGGGGGTAGCGGTTGAGCAGTTGTCAGTACACTGTGCTAGTCTATCCAGCACTGCACCGTGCTACGATTAGCTCAAGTTGCTGATAACCCAGCCACATGAGTTTGATTCCTGACCATGGCGAATATCAGTGGCGAGTGATACCTGAACCGGTTCTGGGCATCCCCGCTTCACCTACCCGCACTGACCAGCGTGGTGAAGTATGGTCAAATAACCCTGACAACTATCCAGCAGCGGAACAACAAAATGACCTGCAATGAACGGCGTGGCACGGCTGGTGGTAACACGAATAAGCACAAGTGTAGTTCTATTCTTCTACTTCAATTTGTTTTATTTTACCAGGCTAAGTCCTACTGAGCTATATGGCTCCTTTTCAGAAGCGACCTGGCCACATATGATAGCTTAATGAAATGGCTGATCACGTGGAAATGTATAGCAGCCAAATATACTGTAAACGAACGTTGATTCTAAATGTGGAGGGATAAACCGCAGAGACCCAGGGAAAACCCCACGCGACCACGGGGAGACAGAGAGACATGCAAAGTCCAAACATACAGGCGTCAGGGCCGGGATCGAACCCATGACCTCCTGCATACCAGGCGAGGGAGTTAACATCTCCTAGCCACCGCGATAGTTCAGTGGTGCTAACCGCGTGCTCCGTGTATGTGCGCGCGTGTGTGGATGGACGCAGGCAAGCGGCCCTACCAGTGCCAGGTGTGCGCCAAGGCGTTCAAGCACAAGCACCACCTGATCGAGCACTCGCGCCTGCACTCGGGCGAGAAGCCGTACCAGTGCGACCGCTGCGGCCGGCGCTTCTCGCACTCGGGCTCCTACTCACAGCACATGAACCACCGCTACTCCTACTGCAAGCGCGAGGCTGACGAGAGAAGCGTGCAGCACCAGCAGCACCAGCAGCAGCAGCTGCACCAGCAGCATCAGCAGCAGCAGCAGCAGCATCATCATCGGTTCGAGCAGCAGCTGCAGCAGATGCAGCAGCAGCAGCAGCAGTTCGACGTTGACGACGCGGCTAGCGGGATCGAAGCCGAGATGCCACGGGAATCGTCGTCGTGGGGGGGCGAGCAGCACGTGACGGCGCGATCGCGACCCTCGCTCGGGGAAGAGGAGGTCAGCGACAAAGAGGAGGAGGAGGAGAAGAAGGAGGAGAGGGAGGAGGAGGAGGAGGAGGAAGAAGAGCGCGACGGGGCCGGCTACGAGCCCCAGGGCTGCGCCGTCGGGCCCGACAGCTCGGCCACCGAAATGGACGAAAGCTCCGACGAGAACGAACCCGAGGCCAAGTCGAGCCGAGACGAGCAGGACGCGGCGGAAGACTTCTGAGACGTGGGAGCGGCGGCGGCGGTGACACTGCCGAGATATATAAGCCGCGACTCGCGCACGGAGCCCCGGCAACCGCGCGCGGATGTTGCCACGGCGGCCCTGGGTGTCACGGGAACAGGCTCCGATCCGCGCGACGTCGGAGAACAAAGGTGGAAGAAGAGTTCCCATCGCGAGAGACTGATGGCTGCGTGCACGGGGGTGGGGGGGGGAGGGGGGGAAAGCACTTATGAAATTATTAATTGACTTCCCCGTTAGCCCCTGCACGCAAAACAACATGCCAACCGTCCTTGCTACTATACAATAGACTTAAATATTCGACAATTTTTTGACATTCGTTTGAGTGATCTTTCGAGTGAGACGGCGAGAGCGGTACAATTATTTTATTTAGCGGTGTGTGCCACGCGCCACTTGTGGGTGTGCGTTTTCACACAGAGCAAGCGACAGGTACCACCGCGTGGACCGCCGTCAACAAATGCATCGAAGTTATTCCATCGCTGCTAATGATATACATGGTACTTTCCGACGATCTTTCGTGCATTGATGAAAATCCCACGGTGTGTGTGTGTGTGTATGTGCGCGTGTGTCACGCCACTCAAAATGTAAATAACATTAGCCCAATGTAACCCGCTATGCTGTGTGTGTGTCTACACTGTTTGTGTACGTGTGTTAATACATCGCACGGTGCAACTTAATCTGCCAGTTGTTTTGGAAAGCAGTCACCTATATAATAAACCGCTCGAGATATTTAGTGCAAATGCATTTCACGTAAACGCATATATACATACGCCAGTGTAATATATCACATCATCTTCATACATCACCCACCGTCAAAAGTTTTGGCTACCTTCACGATGAATTCGCGTCGCGTCACCGTCGTCAACCGTTAGTGGTGTAACTATGCATCGATTCGTCAATTTAATATCGATTATACAGCTCCCCAAACACAGTACACATGCCAACGTTGGGGCGTATCGTTGGAACCGTGGGATCAGCATTGGCCTAAACGTCCCACGTTTGCTGGCGCGACGCATACGCATCGCATGGCGCGCTTAACACTTTCAGCGGCGCGCGTGCCGCGATCGGTCGACACGACCCCTCCGGGCGGTGCACGCGGTTCCATCTCCGTCACGATGCAGTCGTGAAGCAACAACAAAACAAGCGGAACTCAGTTCTTCGATCAAATCGTGACCTGCGATCGCGACGAACCCATCGCGCCACGGTGGGACGGGGTGAATCGTTAACACTCCCTCGCGCCGCTCGCGGATGTCTGCATACGGGCGCGGGCCTCGGTGCCACGCGGGCGAGGTTGCACCTGGGTGGTTGTGGTGGTGGCGGCGGTGGTGGTGTCGTCGACTTTAGAGCATTACCGAGGATAGGCGCTCCGGCACGCCGATTTTTCGGAGGTGATGACGGCGAGGTTTACACCCCCCCCCCCCCCCCCCAAAAAATATATATTCAGTGCAATCCGCATTTTGCCGCATGACAGTGCTGCAGTACACCGCTACAGTATTTAATATTTATATAGATGCGCGCGGTGGTGAAGGGGGGGGGGAGCTTGGGGCGGCAGGAGGGAGAGGTGCTATGGTGGCCAGAGATGCATTTCCTCCCGTCCGTTGTGAACGCTGACACATACTTAGGGTTGCCACCTGAACTGGTTTTCCCGGGATTGTCTTCTGTTTTTTTTTTAGGAAATCTGTAATTACAGTCATCCCAGGTCATTCAATGTCTGGGTTTATTGTCAGTTGTGCGAGCTTAAGAATAACAATACCCCGCTCGAGACCGCGCGTATACATGCAATTCTCCCCCTCGTCCTGTATTGTGATATGTTCCTCCCCGCGATATGTCCCGGTTTTCCTGTACCTCAGCGGTGGCAAACCCTATGGCACCGCGAGATTCCAAGCCGCGTTACACACGGCACTTAAATCTCACCTGGGCGAAGAGGTGAGAAGAGGTGCAACGATGAGCGAGACCGTCTTCTGTTTTTCTTACAAAACTCAGCAATCTTAAAACCCATGAATGACAACAAGACGAGGGGACAAGAACAGGACACTTAAGAAGCAGAAACCAATGCCTCGAAACAAGGCAAGGACTACGTCGTGAACAATGAAGGAAACGAACAACCATTGCCCGTTTTGCTGGTCTAACTGCAGCAGGAATAAGGAGGTTGAGGCGCAGCCGTGCAACTGTTGTGCTCACACCACTGCTGGCGGAAGAACCACCACTTTCGTGAGAGAGAGATATATATAGAGAGAAAGCCCCCGTGACGGGGTCATTTTTGCCTACTCTTCCACGCTGGACACACTTTCGCCCACCCGCACGTGACCTGCCGATCGGTGAACTGCGGCGTACTGATTTACACAGAGGCAACGAGATGCAAGAAGGCTGCCCGTTTGTGTCACCGGTCGCGCCGGGAGATGGAACCGGTAACCTCTGGGTTCCCGGGCCGGATTGCTAAGCATTACCGCGGCAGCGGCGTCCAAACTCTAGTTGTAGTCGTGAACTTTTATTTAACCAGGAGATATTAAACAAGCCATGAAGACGGCATGACAGCATGAGAGATGTTATTATTCTCAATCGGTTAAATCATGAGTTGAAAAAACTAATTTAAATCGCGGGTTAAATCGTGAGTTCAATCGTATGTTTGATTTCGTTTTAAGTCGCACGGTAAAACAGAGCGGCGGTGACACGAATCTGACCACAATATCTCAGAAACGAAGGATTAAGCTTCAGAAAAAAACTAAAACTGCAGCTCATTCAACCCACACCACGGTCATTCCCAATTGCATTCAAACACGAGGGGAATACCACCAGCCGCCTATTCGTTTTGTTTCCCAAGTCCACGTGATCGGTTACTCCTCAGGTCACACCTAAACACATTTTAGGTTTGGTCTTTTTACATACACTGCTATGTATTTAAAAAAAAAGAATTAAACAAGCAGTGGTAAAACCACTCTAAACCTCTTTAAGCTGACCTTTTAATAATAACAGCTTTTGGCTGTTATTAAAAAAAGACAAGACCGTGGTCTCTAATCCCGTTAGCAGAGGTGTGGCTTTTCCACGTCACCCCGAATCTGGGATTTAACAAAGACAAAACCAATGGAGTACATGTTCCGAACATTTGCATAGTATTGTTAAGGGACGTTGTCCTTAATTAGATCATTTACAGGTAATAAGGGTGTAATTTCGTTAACTTTGAAATATGCCCTCTTATGCCTGATATTGTCGATAATTAGAAAAAAAAGCGCCTTCCTCCTCTCCATGGATTTCTACCTGTCTTTGTTTTCCCAGAATTGGTCCGCTTCTTTTTTTAGGAAGCCGCTGTCCTGGGAAATCTTTAAATATTCCCAGGACACTAAAATAATACAGCACTGAAGACAATTTCTTCTCACGTGTTGTCCCCCTCTCCTCTGGTATTGTGAGATAGTTTCCTGCTGCCCATGGCTATGCACCTGCTTTCTTTGGTAACCCCTGCTCCTCCCTCTCGTCCAGTAATAAACGTAGGAAATTGTTAACGCTCTCGGTTCGGTGAGCATTGTGTAATGCACACGCAGAGAGAGAGAGGGGGGAGAAGGGGAGAAGACGCAGACCGTACCCTTGTGTAATGCGTGAATGTGTCTTGCGAAAAGCGATGGCTTGACACTCCCCCCCCTCCGCCCCCCATTTTTTTGTTTGGGACATTGCAACAACAAAAAACGGTCCCGCTTTTTTTTTTGCAAACGCTCTCAGAAGTCGGTAGCACGGGGGAGGGGGGGGGGGGTGCTGATTCCTCGCCACAGCCCAGCAACAGCCTTGGTGACATAGCGGACGATTGTGACACCGGAGCACGGCGTGACCCCCCCCCCCGCCACCCCCGATCGGAACACCGCTCGCTCAACCTTCTCTCTCTCTCGTGTGCTCTCCATCGGACAAAAAACCGAAGCGGGTGGCGATGTTTTTTTGTGTGTGTGTGTGCTTGCGCGACGAACGAAAAGAGTTCGGAGAGAGGCGGACCTGCTTCGGTCGCCGTTTCGTCGTCGATCCACGCTGACCAGCGTGGTGAAGTGCGGTCAAACAATCCACGTGGTTGACACGGCAATTATGGAGGCCTTCATCAAGAAGTGGATTGACGAAGGGCTGTAATTTATTATTATTAATATATATTAATCGGTTGGAATTTTATCGAAGATATACCCCGCTGATCTAGAAAGTGGCACGTTTGCTTCTTGAGTGCTCCGGAAGCCCCGCATTCCTTTTCCATAACGTAGGGCTTATATATATATTATAATGAGTATATACGGTATATGCAGAGCCTGTGTATATCAACAATACCGTATGTATGTAGGTTTCACACGAAGTACACCGTAAAGTGTGCGTGGGATGATTTTACTGCATGAGCAATAGTAATTACACAGTTTAATATGACACTTTCATTTGTCCCATAATGTCTTGTACTTCCAAAAAAAGAATTGCCCCCCCCCCTACGTACGCTAATATGCGTGCATGCTTATCCTGCCATTTTGCGGTTTTCCACTCGTCCACAGTTAATGTACGCTCTATTGCACTGCTATGCTAAACACAGACAAACAAACAATGGCATATTAAATTTTGATTTAAAGCTTTTGTGACTGCAGGGATTCATATTCTTGGTTCTTTCGGTAAAGTCACGTAGAAGGGAAACAATAAAATAATAATATAAAACAATAAAATTCTCACGACGTTTCGACTGCTGCTTGTGTTGCAGTCGAAACGTCGTGAGAATTGTATTAGTTTATATTTGTATTATTTAATTGTTTCCCTTCTACGTGACTTTACCGAAAGAACCAAAAATATAATGGCATATTATATATAGCGTACAATATGTTTTGCTATGGTTTATTGATTTGTTTGAAAAATGAAAAAAATGAAAAAAATGCGTGGCGTAAGTTCATGGAATTGTGTAAAGAAGAAAATAATGATTTAGAACGTTGGGGGAGAAGGGGGGAATGATTTTTTTTTAAAAATGTAATACGAATGTTATTGTATATTACAGAACTGAATATGCTTGTTTTTGTATTATTGGTAACAGGTCATGGATGCTTCACGAATCATTTTTAAAACGTGCAAATTTTCCGTGGGAATTTTTTTAATGACACTTTGTTCCCGAACCCAACACCATTTTATATTCATCTTGCCAGTACAGTATTTTGTAACCACACCTTGTGCATGTTTGTATGGGTACACCGAACCCAAAAGTTTAGTGGGATTTATGAGCACATTACAGCAATGTGTTGCCATGTAATTGAGTTGTTTTTTTTATATATTATTGTTGTTGTTGTTACGAATGCTTAATTCGTTTTTACAGGCATTTATTATTGCAAGTATTATTGATTTTATTTTGACAAGAAATGATGGCCGTGATTAAGTCACGTGGAAAATGATTTCATAATTGTTGTCACACACAAAAAAAACTAATCTTTAAGATAGACATGCTCACAGATGTGTTTCCTCGTTCAGTGTATGTATATTTATTAAAAACTAAACAAACATTTTGTATGCCTTGCACAGAACCATTGCAAAATAAAGTGTGAAAGCTACACTTTGGGTAATTCTCAGCAGTGCATATGTGGAGTATATGCGAGTCGTGATACAACAAACCATACTCACGAAGACAACAAACCCCCTGTGTGGCCTACGTAGACTGTTGGGGCAAGTGCTGTTAGCGAGCACCTATTAGGACCAGCACGGTGGCGCATGTAGGTACGTATGTTGAACTTCTTTCGCAGTGTACGGAGCCAACCGTGCTAATCGGAGGTGAGGGGGGAAGGACAACAAACTAAACACAACAAGCAGATCTAAATAAATGAGTTTTCATCAGGGGGTAGTGTGGTCAGCACCATGCCCTGAACGTCTTTATCTCCCCAGTGCAGCTGGTAGTTATTTAAGGCCGAGTTGACCAAAGGGGAGGCCAACGCCAGTTCAGATAAACCATCACCGATGTTATCGTAGCGGAGATCAAACTCAGATCGCTGCATTCGTAGAACAGTAACATTCACCACGAACGCTACCGCTCACATTGCACTTGTCAGAATCATGTACGCTACACAAAGACAAAGGACCGCTGTATAGTCTGAACAGACTGTTGGGGAAAGTGATATTAGCGAGCACCTATGAAGGCCGGCATGGCACAAGAGGTGGTGGATGGTCAACACCACGCCCGTCCGCCTTCGTCTACCCGGTGGTGATGTTTACACACTGCACCAGGTACTCACTTGACGCTAAGAACACCTTGGGGAGGCTCATGACCAGTTCAGATAATCGTCACCGGTATTGGCCGTGAGCGGGAATCGAACTCGCGCATTAACCGCTTCACCACCGCTCCCCCACACTTGTATCTATGCACACACACGCACATTAAAACACACACAAATTCTTATACATTAAACACACATAATTAATCAACACAACAACGTAAAACACAGGA